ATTTTTGAAAGAAAAGTAGTACTGCGAATGCTCCCGGAATTTATCGATCATTAGAAATGTTCTCTTCATTCATATAATTCCTTTCGCTTTGTTCAAGGATGAATATCTTCAGTTATAATGCTTCTAGATTTGGAGAATGCCAAGAAACGTATCATGCCTCTTTTTGAATCATTGAATTCTAATAAAGAAGAAAATAGTCTGCGATTAGCTTTTCGACTGGATTTAACGGCTACAAATATGGTTTACCCATTGATAAATTACATTTGAATAATTTCATTTGGAAAAACAGTATCCAAATTGTTACGTGAAAAAGAATCACAGCAAATATTTTTTCATCTTCAGTTTGGAAGAAAAGCTGTTTATTATTAATTATGAATAAGTCACATGTTGATTACTTCAGCATACAGCAAATTTTGTTTGTGGCTGCAGTTCAAGCTTTCAGATTTGTGCTTTCGGAGCTTTGTTGAAATATTTAGATGCAATAAGACTAGGCGTGGAATTTGAAGATATAAATAAAAAAACTCCAATATCTACCATCAAAACAATCACCATGTTTGTCCTTTTTTCCTTTGCATCTGAACTTTAAATGCTGTTCGAATTAATTACTTCAAAAATTACTCGTTTTTACCTCTTTCAGTGAGAAAATAATAGAAATAGATGACAATTCGAAGCGTGCTTTGCAAATTTTCCAAGATGATTTGCATCCATCGGCATGTAAAGCATATTCAGCTGGCGGTGTTCGAGAAGGAATTAGCTTGTTTCGGATGTGTGATCGATGTCAGTCAAAAAGTGGTGGAGCGTTACTCAGGTAATTTGTTTCCTATAGTGAAAAGTTGCAGAGTTTTTTTAGGATTAATATTATTTCACTTATTTTACAAGATGTTGGTTTGAACGGCCTACAAGAAATCGAGTAACGCTAACTAATCGAGTGAAGGCAGTGCATTATTTTGTGCAAGATTGCAATCTTGATGCTCTTGACTTTATCAGAATCAGACTAAAAAAAATTTCCACTCTGAAGGCATGTTATCTTTTTTGTGTCCTTCTGCTTATTATCCTGTGATGTCACTGTCATAACAAAAAGTGCCGTATTGAGTAGTAAAATAATTTATGAATACTTTTGTTCGTTTTTTAAATGTGGCGTAG